CTCCCCAGCCAGCCCATCAGCCCCCTGCCCAACAAAATCAACAACAACGGCGTCCTAATTGGCCCTGCGGATTTTGTTCCAACCCAGAGCACATGTTCAGACAGTGTCAGTGTTTGGAGGAATATCTACAGTGTGGTTTGTGTATCTGAGACTCAGGGAACCGGATCTGTATGCCGGACAATAGTTTAGTAACCATGCAGACCACCCCAGGACGAAACATGATGGAGAGAATAGAAAACTGGCACAAAGCATGTACCCAGCCCATCATCCACGCCCAGGCCAACATCCTTGAAGTTTCCCCAGCAGGTTCCGCTACTCCAGGATCGTTTATCAGCACTGTCAGACCCACAGCACCCTACACCTCCTTTCCCATAAGCCAGGATGAAAATGAGCTGGTTTGCCTTGAGGCGGTCAGGCGGTCACCTTAGCAAACCTAAAGCATCAGGAAGAAGTCCGTAAACGCATAGGGAATGCTGGAAAAGCAAAGAACGTACCTGTAAACCTGGCACCCATCCCCAAAGTCCCAACCAAAGCACCTCATGTGTCCCCTCAAACCGTCCCTGCTCCTAACTTCCCCACAAAGAACCCCATCGCTGAATCATCATCCCTACAACCCCAGTATCAGTTTATGTCACCCATAGAAGACCCTAAAACCCTCCAGAACATTATACAATGCAGCATGAATGGGACAGTTACCCTTATGCAAAAGGAGCTATATGCTATCACCCCAGATGTCAGAAAACATGTCAAGGAGCAGCTGACTACTCACTGGGTACCTGTAGGATTGGCAACCACTTCTATTTCATCAACCGAAACCCAGTACTCTGATAATACGCTCTCAAATGCTTTCTTACACCATTGACTTTCACCCCCTCCTAACTCAGTCATAGTGGCAAACCATGTTAAGGAACTGCGGACAATCCCTCTCAAGCTTGATGGGAAATTTACAGTTGACACCATTCTTGATGAAGGGTCGCAGGTTATAGGGATCTGACGTGATGTATGGGAAAGATTGGGCCTGCCACTGTTTAGCGAACAAAACATGCTTATGGAGTCAGTGAATGCATCAAAAGAGATGACTTTGGGTCTCCTCCAAGATCTTCCCATCCGGATCAGGAGCAGCGTGTTTTACCTTCAAGTACAGGTGTTTGAAAACGCGCCATACGAGATGCTCCTTGGGCGACCTTTCCTCATGCTTACTCAGGCACAAACGTATCACTATTCAAATGGTGACTCACATATAATGCTCCTGGACCCAAATACCAAGGAAACTCTTATCATCCCAATGATGATCCAAGTGTGAACTCCAGCACAAGCAAGTACGGGTTTTAGATGTCGATGAATTGGGCCAAACCCAACAAGATGTGACAACAATCCCATCATTCGTGCCTCACACCATAACACCACGTCATCCACCTTCCCAATCC